CAGCTGGCCTCGGGGCATGCGCAAGTATGCGTTTCCCCCAGTGAGCCTGCTCGCGCAGTTTCTGTGCAAGGTCAGGGAGGACGAGGAACAGGTTCTGCTAGTTGCGCCCCTTTGGCCCAACCGGACCTGGATATCAGAGCTCTCACTCCTCGCGACGGCCCTCCCCTGGCGGATCCCTTTGAGAGAGGACCTACTCTCTCAGGGACAGGGCACCATCTGGCACCCTCGCCCCGATCTTTGGAACCTCCACGTGTGGTCCCTAGACGCGAGGAAGACTTAGGTAACCTACCGACTGCGGTGGTTAATACCATCACTCAGGCTAGAGCCCCCTCCACGAGCCGCGCCTACGCCCTGAAGTGGAGTCTATTCACTGAATGGTGCGTCTCTCGCAGAGAAGACCCCCGAAATTGCCAGATTAGTGTTGTGCTCTCTTTCCTTCAAGAGAAGTTGGACAGCAGGCTGTCGCCCCTCCACTCTCAAGGTTTACGTGGCCGCCATCTCCGCTTATCATAGCGCGGTAGCTGGCGGCACCGTGGGAAAGCATAACCTGGTCATCCAGTTCCTTAGGGGTGCTAGGCGAATTAATCCATCTCGCCCCCCTCTCATGCCCTCTTGGGATCTCGCCCTCGTTCTCACGAGTCTGCGATCCGATCCCTTTGAGCCACTCGAATCAGTATCTCTAAGATTTCTGTCCCTGAAGACAGCTCTGCTGGTTGCGTTGGCCTCCATCAAGAGGGTCGGGGACCTGGAGGCATTTTCGGTCAGTGACTCGTGCCTGGAATTCGGGCCGGATTACTCTCACGTTATCCTGAGACCCCGCCCCGGTTATGTGCCCAAGGTTCCTACCACCCCCTTTAGAGATCAGGTAGTGAACCTGCAAGCGCTGCCCCCGGAGGAGGCAGACCCAGCCCTTTCTTTACTTTGTCCAGTTCGCGCTCTGCGCATTTATGTGGACCGTACTCAGAATTTTAGATCATCTGAGCAGCTCTTTGTCTGTTATGGCGGTCGGCAGCAGGGAAGTGCCGTATCGAAACAAAGATTATCCCACTGGATTGTGGATGCCATTTCACTCGCTTATTCGAGTCGAGGTCAGCCGTGTCCCCCGGGAGTACGTGCACACTCCACTCGGAGCGTTGCATCCTCTTGGGCGCGTGCACGCGGCGCCTCTCTAACAGACATCTGTAGAGCTGCGGGCTGGGCGACACCCAACACATTTGCAAGGTTTTACAATCTGCGAGTGGAGCCGGTTTCCTCAAGGGTATTAGGTAACCCTTTGGTGATTGAGGAGACAACTCGGTAGGGTGTTGAAACACGCTTGCTGCGCCATTCTCCCTAACACGGAGGTACGTGCGCCTTTTTTATCTGTCAGTAAAGTTCCCCGTCAGGTGAGCCCTGCAGATTCCTCCGTGGCCCCCAGCACTGACTCAGCGGAGGAGTCACTTGCTGGCCCACTACGTTGTAGGTCTGCCCGCTGGTCAGCCCGCGTTTTGGGTATAGGTGCCTGCTAGGCGTGATCCCCACTAGGCGATCCCATATGCTTATTCCGCCACGGTTAAGTCCCCCCCCTGGGCGGACCCGTGTCTTCCCTCTCCGCTAACCACTCTTTGCTATGCGTACTCCCCCTTTTTAGGGCTAGTCCATAGGTAAATTCTGCCATCTATCCCCCCCTTGGGTAACGGATGGCCTCCGCAGCGTCCTCCCTATCGGGATTGCACGCTTCCCAACGTACTGTCGTATTTCCTAGAATTATCTAGATGCTCACGACTTCCCAAAAAATATATCTAAATCCGTAAAACTTCTGTTGAAGTAGGATAAATTAGGGCCAGGGACACGTTGGAGGACCGCGCCCCCCATGATGTGGGTGCGTCACGCTTGCTTGACTATCTCCTCATCGGGGGTGTTGGTAAGGTGCAGTCATTATGGCGCTTTCCATATTCTCCCATTCATGGCACTGAAGTTCCCCAACCGAAGGGGAACGTTCGAGGTTACAGAAGTAACCCTTCGTTCCCCGAGGAGGGGAACGGAAGTGCCATATTCCGTCGCCATAATGACTGTCCCTTAGCTGTTTGAAAGTCTCTTCAGCTTAAAAGGATGGCGTCTGCTGGCTTCAGGTGTGCTTATATGCTGAGATGATTGCAGATGTCGCACACCTGCGCAAGCTTACGCTGCCAATTAATTTCATTCATTGGCCCGTTCAATACTCTCCAGATAAGCGGCTTCTGATCCGAATCCTCCCATTCATGGCACTTCCGTTCCCCTCCTCGGGGAACGAAGGGTTACTTCTGTAACCTCGAACGTTCTTACTGTAGTATCTCACAAACGCTACGTGAGACCTTCTTCCTTTAAGTCTGTCTGTTGTCTGACGCAGCTGAGGGAGGAGGCATGTAGAAATAGTGGGCGGGAAAGACTCGGCTTAAAGGCATAGTACGACAAAACCACCCCCTGCTGGAAATCAGTATAAAACAGCATCTTGTAAAAGGTATAATGAAAAATCTGATGGGTATTTTGATCTGAAACTTTATATACACATTCTTTTCGATTTTTATTGGTTCAAAATGTCAAAACATCAAGGCAAACTAGATTCATAAAGTCATGACCCTTGAAAAAAAATAAAGTTTGAAATATGTAAAACAAAGAAACACTGTGGCTCAAAACAGAACAAATATTTAAGCTTCTACTCTATTTCTGGGTCACTAATTAAACAGCAAATCCTCTGAGCCATGGGACGCAGCAGTACAAGAGGCAAATTATTACTGCTTGCTATCTTCAAAGGATTTGCTTATTATGCATATCTGGGAAAAAAAATAGTCATTGTAGCTTAAGGTAATGGAGTTGTGGTTGGGTTTCATTTAAGCTGGAGTATCGTGACGTGTTTGATTCATTATTTTAGACTGGTCTTCTGTTAAATTTAATGCGTTTTGACTAACTCACTGAAAGCAGTCAGGATGATTGATAAGCCCCATTAAATCACATCTGGTGTGAACACACACACACCGTCATCATCAACATGGTGTTTGATTGATGCCCAGCTCAACACATTCCCATACTGAACATACACACACATGCAAAAACACACAGGGAGTGCTGTACAAATCAGCAAGCTGTCAGTACAGTCTCTAATCTCTCTTCCATATTTAACAGCTGGCTCAACGATGATGTCACAGTTCGAACAGCTGGCCGATTGTACGTTACATCATCACGAAAGCAGATTTAAGCAGGCTTTCGCAAATCTGACATCAAATGAGTGACCTTAAAGTATACATAACAGTGTTAGCGAGGTTTTGGTTGAAATTTGTTTGTATGTTTAGATTCTGTTTAAACTCTGATCTGGGAAGAGTTACTGTAGTTTCATATTACATATACAGATGAGGTTAGAATTATTAGGCTCCTGTTAAATTGTAATTCTTTAAAAAAAAATCCCAAGTGATGTCCCCCACATTGGAAAATGAATGAATGAGTGAATGAATATATCATATAAGCAACATTTATTTTAAAATATTGCAATATATATATATATATATATATATATATATATATATATATATATAACATAAAATATAATATAACAATATGCAATTTCAATGGTAATAAATTTCAATGGTTACTAAATTGTAAATGTAAATGCAATATTTTTAAATATATGATGCATTCATTCATTCATTTATTTCCTTTTCGCCTTAGTCTCTTAATTAATCTGGGGTCGCCACAGTGGAATGAACCGCCAACTTATCTAGCATATGTTTTACGCAGCGGATGCCATTCCAGCTGCAGCCCCATCATTGGGAAATATTTAATGCATATATAACATATTTATGTGAAATTCAAATATGAACTTGTCATGTATGTCATATATTTCATTATGGTGGCTTGGGAAAGCCAACATACTGTTATACTACATAAACATTTTATTCTTCTATCTTCTTCTACTTCTGAGACTAATTTCTATATGCATCTCCTGTTCATACTACAACCACCAAACTAACTCCAAACCTTCAAACTATACTAAATTAAGTTGCTATATCTTTTCCAACTGAGCCGACTGGTTTTCCGAAATCTGTCCTGACAATTTTAGAAAAGTCCTATTGACTTAACATTGGACCAAACTTTGTGACCTCATAACCTTCCGCCAGACTGTCATACAGACTTAAGGTTGGGCTCATTTAACCCAGATTACCAATCTGCCAATCACTGATGACCTATCAACTTACTAGACACACCCTAACAACCAGTTACGGGACCTAGCAACTGTCTCATAGACTTCCAATGTAAAAAACTGCCATTGACTTTAAATTGGATATACTATACCAATCCATACTAATCATACAAGCAACATGCTAATTCATACTAAATTCATGCTAAAGACATGCTAGTTTATACTAGAAACATAGTGACATGCTAATTCATTCTAGAACCATGCTAACATGCAAATTGTTTCAAGAAAAATGTTAATTTATGTTAGCAATAGCAACTGCCTAGCAATCACCCAGAACACCTTACCAACAGTCAGTAACACCTTATTTACCATAAAGAATACCTTAGCAATCACAAGAATACCTTAGCAACGGTCTTGTAACGCTTTAGTAGCCACCCAGAACTCCCAAGCAACACCTTAGCATTTGCTTACCAATGCCTTAGAAACCACTCAGAACACCATGGCAACTGCTTAGCAATACCTTACCAACCACTCAGAAGACTCTAGCAACCGCCTAGCAACCACTCAAAACACCCTATCAACACCTTAGCAACGACCTAGAATACCATAGTAACTGCCTAGCAACACTTTAGCAACCACCTAGCAACCAATCAGAACACTATAGCAACTGCCTAACAATGCCTTAGCAACCACTTAGAACACCCTAGCAATCCCCTAGCAACACCTTAGCAATGAACAAGAACACCTTAGCAACCACCTAGCAACACCTTAGCAACCACCAAGCAATACCTTAGTAACCACCTAGAGCACCCAATCAACACCTTAGTAACCACTCAGAACACTCTAGCAACTGCCTAGCAACCACCTAGAACACCCTAGCAATGCCTTAGCAACCACTCAGAACATCCTAGCAACCATCTAAAAATGGTTTAGCAACAGCTAAGTGGTCGACCTAGCAACCACTCAGAACACCCTATAGCAACCGCCTAGCAACCCCTTAGCAATGACTCAGAACACCCTAGCAACCGCCGAGCAACCACTCAGAACACCCTAGCAACCACCTAACAAGAAACATGCCAATCCACTAGAAACCTGCTAACCCTTGTGTACTTATCTATCTATACCAACTGTTTCAAACTTCTTCAAAACTACTTCAATTTTTATAGCTACTTCAAACTTTCACACTAGACTTTCTCAAGACATCATTAAGTTTTGTTTATGAAATTTAATTTTCTAGTTTGGATATATTGTCATATATATTAGATTTCTATATGGGAACAGTTTAGGTTTTGGCGGTGGACAAGGTTCTGGGATAAGAATATATTAAAAAAAATATACCAAAAGATAATAAAAAGATGAGTGTAGTGCACCTTTAATTTCTAAATGTCACTTTATGTATTGCTTTTTCCTGTACACCAATTCTTCTCTCAGGGATTCGTGTCTCCAATAAAGCGCCTAGTGTTCCCTAAATCTAGCCGGCGACAGGTGGACAAAGGCAGTGTTTACCGCAGACCCCTTCACACCGTCCCGCTTTACCCACCTGACTACCTCATCCACCCAGAGAGACTCATCTATGACTATGTGGAGAAGGAGGTCAAGGTTAGTCTGACCACACAAAGATATCAAACAACTCGCATTCACTGGAAACATCCTTTGACCTTTTTGTGAATGCCACAACAGTTCCTGGGACACCTGACATGGGTGTCCTGTTCCCTGAACCCATCCAGCAGAGACGAGCTGCTGCAGCTTCTGGACACAGCCAGGGTGAGAGCCATTCCTCAAACTAGAGATGTTGTGTTGACTATAAGTATTTTCAACCACTGTTGCCAGCTATTTTCTACGGAAAGGCGCTAAGCTCTGCCCGAAAAGTCGCTAAAAGTCGCTAGATTGTGTCATGGGTTAATTTGCATATAACTGATGTCATCATGTTCTACAATTTCTGTTTGTTTAGCAATAAATGAGTATTTATATTTGCACTATGCTTTATGTAAGCATGTCAATTTAACTAAATTTATTGCTGTTTGAATACAGGGGCGCCTCCAAGGGGTGGCCAGGGGTGGCCACGGCCACCCCTCGGTAAACTCTGGCCACCCCTGTGGCCACCCCTTCGGCCACCCCAATATAATTTTGCGGTTGACATTATTGATTTAAATGAACTCATAAATTCCCAATATTTAGATAAATAAATAAATAAAATGCAGTCACTAAATTATTGTTGGTGTTACTGACGTAGCTCTCCCCCTCTGGTTCAATGCTGGTGAAAGCAAACTGACGCATGCGCGCGGAAAACCATTCCCGCGCGCCTCACGCACTCCTGTGTGAATCCCGGTTGGTTGTTTGCATGCACGCCGACATAATAGGCACCGCTCATGCGCCGTGAAACCGGAGTAACAGCCTTTTGTGCAGAGGTGTCGGCACGCAGCGAGTTTTGAAAGTCGTTTAAAGTTTATATAATATGATGATGATGATGTTACTTTCACTAAGCATGCCTTTAAAGCAGAAAGGAGGGATAATGAGTCAGGGAGGTAAGACTTCATAACATGATTTCTCAGCCATGATCTGGTCAAAGATCACAGATAATTCTATAATACATTTTTTGTATTCTTTAGAATTGTCATAATTAATTTTCATGCAACAGGTTTCTTAAGTGATGTTGGCATATCACTCCAGTTGTTGTTTTCCAGTAATATTTGGGATTGATTTCTGTTATTTATTTAAAATAATAATTGTATATTAATATTAATTGTATTTATTTAGAATAAATATAAATAAATTGTTATATTTATTGAATAACAAATCTAACAATTCAAGAGAGGTGGGGGTGTATAGGGTGGTTCGCCCAGGGTGTCATTTAAACTAGAACCACCACTACCCTCCCCGATCGTCCTTGACAGCACGCACACACCTTCAATAGACAGCAATGGCTATTTAATATTTACCTTAAGCTACAGTATATCAATAGAAGAAGCTGCATTAATAAAATGGTTCAAAAAGCAATATGGATAAATAATATTATTAGGTATAGTGAGTGTGTATAGTAATGCCTTTTGTTCAGTTTGTTCATTTGTTTGGGTAATTAATAAATTCATTATTCTTTCATTCATTTTTTTTTCGGCTTAGTCCCTTTATTAATCCAGGGTCACCACAGCAGAATGAACCGCCAACTTATCTAGCACATTTTTACACAGCGGATGCCCTTCCAGCTGCAACCCATCTCTGGGAATAATAAACTCATTAATCTTCATTAATTTTAGACATGGCATATCTCGTATGATGTACAATAAAGGCACGTAAAAAAGAAGTTATTTATACAGTATATGAAAAGTGTTTTTAAAATAAACATAGATTTTTATTTGGTTTGCACATGTACTTGCTGAATTATTTCAAAGAATAAATTGCAATATTTCAAGTAGAATTAATTAAATGAATAAAAACTACATTATTTCATTTACCAGAAACAAAAATATAACATTACACTGAATTCATTATTTTTTTTGTGTGCCACCCCAAGATTTGGTGCGGCCTCTTCTGGCCACCCCTAAGAAAATTTTCTGGGGGCGCCACTGTTTGAATACAGTATGTCAATATAGATGTGTGGTGAATTTGCAGTAATCTCTCAGACGTAATAAACTCAAGTTCTGAAACTCTCACTTATAATATCTGTGATTGTAAACAAGAAAAGAATAAATTTGCAAATTAAATTGTTAAAATAAAGGAGAAGTAGATCGGTTTGACTGTACAAGGAAGATACCTTCACACTGCCGTGCTCAATCATTTGCCATCGGTACACAGAGGGGTGAGGGTGCAGGTGGGAGAGGCTGCTGTACGGGGACTGGGCCGCCTGTCAGTGCAGTGAGGCGGGGGAGGAGCCGACGGAATGACCCGCAGCTCGATGAGAAGAGTAGGGACGGTACAGTATGGACTAATGACAGTCTATAAAAATCTCCAGTAACACACAAAAAAGTTGCTAGATTTGTCGCTAGTCGCTTTTCTGAAAAATTGTTGCTAGGGAGGTCTGAAAAGTCGCTAAATCTATAGACAAAGTCGCTAAGTTGGCAACACTGTTTTCAATGTCAACTTGATGATTAATAAATGGTAAGAAACACACTCCAGACTAAAATAACTGTTATGCACTTGACAATTTTCAGATTGTTTTTTTTTTTTTTTGGCTTTTCATTGTTAATGACTTATGTAAAAAAAAAACATGCAAAATACTCTTTCTTCTGTCACAGTTTATACATTCGTGCTTGTAGATTTCAATTGCAGTACATATTTGTGAAGGCTGTTTTCTCAAAATGTTTTTCTCCATTCTGAGCCATAAATCCTCACTTAAAAAATGGTGTTTGCTGTACTACTTTTTTAAAACAAGCTGAAACATGTGGAGACCTGGAAGGGACGTGATGGTGGGGAAAATATGGGTGGAAGAAAAAAAATGGGTGGGAGAAATAAAAAACACTGATCTCTCGCAAAGACGTTTTGTATTATATCGCAAAACTGTCTTTTCACAAACACTTCCTGTTCACTTCATACATGTCAACCCTCATATTTTTTTGGTGATTCTCCAGTATTTTACTATTCTTTCCTACTATCATCCAATCCTTAAGTATTTTCCCATATTTCTCATGTATTTTTAATCTTTACAGCACGTTAAAATATAAAAATGTCTGCATTCACTTTCTTTCTATGAAAGCCGTGTGCCGATCACAACCCAGGCTTATTCTGAAAACGTAGTCCCGTGGACGTTTCTGGAGACTGCGAAATACGTCCCGGGAGGTACGTATGGCTGCATTTTATTTTTTTTAAGCGATCGCTATGGGCCGGTATGACGCTGTTCCATTTCGCGCTTACCGGCTGACCACTTACCTCCGTGTGAAGGGCTTTCCCGCAGCAACCAGTTTGTCCGGTCAGCTCATCGTGTACGTCGGCAGACTTCAGATGCAGAGAGGAGGAGTTGACCACCGCGACCGGGTTCGAGTCCGGGGAAGAGCGGTTCCAGAAATCAGGTAAGACAAAAACAGAATCCAAAAAATAAAGTGAACGAGTTCATAACAGGGTGAGAACGTAGTAAAATCCGAAAACGGGGTAAAAAAATCAGACGAGGGCTTTTCTTTTTCTAGACGGCTTCTCTAAATTGTTGCTCGGGTTTAGGGAAGTGAGTAGGCGGGCGGGTCAATCAGTAAAATTGGTTGGGTTTAGGGAAGGAGGAGGGTGGGTCAGCCGATTGGCCGGTCGCACAGTCAATCATTCAGTCAGACAGCGGCCTCTGGTGGGTTCACGCGAGAACAGCGCGGGCGTGAACGGCACTCGCGAGAGACATTTGAGATACGAAAAAGCACACACAGCGGCCTCTTGCGGATTCGCGAAAACAAAAACTGCAAAAACACGTACCTTCCGGGACGTATTTCGCTGTCTCCAGAAACGTCCACGGGACTACGTTTTTAGAATGAGCCTGGGTTGGCCGATCATCACCCTTCGTATGCAACCTCTGATTCAGCGAATCCATGTAATGCTGACTGACGAACTCGCTCCGTATGATAAACTGATCACAGATCAGCTTCTGTACACGCCATTTAAAGTGACACCTCTGTTATCAAACAAGTGTAGAACAGCAAGTGAATCTCTCGTCTTTTTCTGTTTGATAACAGAGGTGTCACTGTAAGGATGCACAGATCTATAATGAAAGCATTCCATTACTTTAGTAACTGTTTGTGCTAATTTAAGAGAAAATGAGTTGTGTTTAAATAAAACATGCAGGACGAACATGTTTACACATTATTAAGAGTAATTGTCTGTTTAAACACACACCTGAATCCCAAAGTGTCATGCATTTTAGCTTCTCTTTAAATGGCGTGTACAGAAGCTGATCTAGCATCAGTTTATCATTGAGCATGTCCAACACAATCTCACGGCAATTCATAACTTTTTGATTTATTTGCTAATTTATATGTATTCGTACAATCTACTTTGTACAATTTAGTACGATTTGCTCATCTCCCAATGACGGTTGGGTTTAGGGGTGGGGTTAGGTGCCACGCCTCCTTTTTAAAATTAAAATTAGCCACTAAACTGGCAAAACTTAAAATACTTACGTTTTCTCGTGAGATCAGGCTGGCACGTCTGTATACATGCATAACACAAAACATTTTTTTGGGTCATAACGCAAAACATCTTTGCGAGGGAACGCAAAACATCTTTGTGAGGTAACGTCTTCATATCACTGATTTTTTTCTTCCACCCATTTTTTTACCCACCAGCACACCCCTTCCACGTCTCCATAGTAACAAAACAATTATTGAAGTTTTTTAGGGGACAACTTAATTGTTTTATGTTTAATTTAATAAAACCAAATTAGCTTAATTCGTTCATGTTGCCCCAACACAAATAGATGGTGTGGAACCCAACATTTTTTACGATGTTGACTTCAGGTCTTATTTAATGTACACCCAACCTTAGTTTTATTCACTCTAAAGGTTTTTAAAGAGGGTTGTGCTTGTTATTGTGTATATGTACATTTTATTTTACAAAACAAAAATCAATTTGGCTGTTTACAGTATTTTCAGAATTACAAAGTGTTAAAAAGAGCTTCTCTAAAAAAAAAAAAAACATTTTTGGTGTCTAATATGTTCACTTCATCCATTTTCAGTGTTTCTGTGCTGAAAGTATATATAAATTAGCATATTACTAAATAATACATAATTTGCATATTTAAATATTATGTTTTAGAAAATGTGTAATACAAAAAAAGTTTGCAATTCTTAATGTTATCAATCACCCTTTTTACCTGTAGTGCTTTGCCTTCACATAATTTAAAACAGCAAGCTTCTTCACAATAAAATTTTGCACATTCTACACATTTCTGTATGCCTGTAGAAGCTGAGGGTTTTACCTCTGAAGACCAGTGTTGAACAGGACTGTATTCTCAGTCTGTCTGCTCGCTGTCTGCTGCTTACCTGGAGAGACAATGAAAAACTGCTGCTGAGGATCCCTACACATGAAATTGCTGCTGCCTCCTACCTGCGGGATGATGCACTGCATCTGCTGGTGCTCAAAACTGGTTAGTAAGAGTGAAATGTAAACTGTAAAAAAACTTTCTGCCTTAATTTTGTGGGTTTAAATTGACAAAATGGAATCAGATTAACTTTTCAAAACATACATCAGTTACATAAACTAAAAATACGAAGTTAAACTTTGTCTTAGTAAATAGTTTAAATATAATTAACGTATTAAGATGTTAAAGTAACAATAAACATTTGTTGCTGTGTTTTTTTTTTTTTACATTGTGGAGAATGTTTAAGATATACCAGAGCTTACCCATGGTTAAATGTTTCTGCCAAATGCAGAAATGTTTACCCAGAAGATTTAATTCACTCATCATTTACACACCCTTCATGAGTTTCTTTCTTTCTGTTAAACACAAAAGAAGATATGATGAAGAATGTTGGGAAAAAAGTAGCACTGACATAAAAAAGTCCCTCAAACAAGTTTGGAAAAAATGAAGAGTGGGTAAATGATGAATTTTCATTTTGATTTAGCTATTCTACTTCTGGTTAAGTAGAGATATTGTATTGAGAAAGATCTGTGAATTTGTCTGTTAGCATATCTTTGCAAATTTATGGGTTGTTGATGCTTTTTCACTGTGCCACATGACAAAAACTAATATAATCAATATTGTGATCTAAAATGCAGTAAATGGTTCTTTATGCACCTCTTATTTATTTATTTATTTATTTATTTATTTATTTATTTATTTATTTATTTATTTATTTATTTATTTATTTATTTATTTATTTTCTAGCCCTATCTCAGAACTGTGTGTGACATCTCAAACATAGTTCAATAAATTACAGCTCTTATAAATAAAAAAAAAAGAAAATTGTAAAATCATTAATAAATAGCTCAGGTCTAATGTTTCAAGTGGCTAATTTAGTAAATGTATTTTTTCATTTATATATTTCTAAAAAGATAACAATAGGTTAACTTGATACATTTTGTCACTAAAAAGACATGTCTTTCAGTGTGACAATATGAGCTAATTTTAAATCGGGCAATTCCTCTAAAATATCAACTGAAGGTCCTTATTTAAGATCATGTGACCGAAGCCCCTGTGAAGCCCATGAATTGATGTGACACCCCTATTTATTAAAAAAAATTCAAGAAGTCCAACAAGTCATGAAGAAAAAAATGTATTATTTATAATCATATATAAAATAAACAGCGGCGATGCAGTGGCACAGTAGGTAGTGCTGTCGCCTCACAGCAAGAAGGTCGCTGGTTCGAGCCTCGGCTGGGTCAGTTGGCGATTCTGTGTGGAGTTTGCATGTTTCCCCCTGCATTCGCATGGGTTTCCTCCGGGTGCTCTGGTTTCCCCCACTGTCCAAAGACATGCAGTACAGGTGAACTGGGTAGGCTAAATTGTCCGTAGTGTATGACTGTGAATGAGTGTGTGTGTGGATGTTTCCCAGAGATGGGTTTCGGCTGGAAGGGCATCCGCTGCATGAAAACATGCTGGATACGTTGGCGGTTAATTCCGCTGTGGCGACCCCGAATTAATAAAGGGTTGCGAGTTTGTATTTGAGATGTAGAATGCATGGAAAACATCTGCATAAAGAGACACGCATAGAGAGACACTGCACGTGCTGCTGAAGATTGTGGGTGTTTACAGCAGTTTGACTGATAAATATAAATTGGTAGCTAAATTGTTAACGGTGACAAACAGCATTTTCGGTTGTTTACATCCTTGTTTACGTCCTTGCTACACCATACCGTTAATGCTAGAAACTGTGCATGTAATTATTTAATTTTAACAAATAAAAACACTTACAGGTTGTGACTCACAATCCACAGCTCCGTCGATTAAAAAAGTTTTTAACCGAATCCAGCACTAAACTGGGAGTGATTCTGGAAATTCTCATTTGTCAAATGCTAGCTATATATTTTTATAACTGTCTTGAACATAATTAAAATTAAATTGTGAGCACTTCTCTCTTTGTGTCCTTTCCTTTGAAAGCCCAGAAACAGAAGAAGTTCTGTGGCAAAAGAGTTTGGCGGCGTTTTAGCGTTCTCTGCTATAACATTAAAGTGCATCTTGCCATGCTCCGTTGCTGCACAGGGTGTATGCGTGTGGTGAATGCGCGTAACCTGAAGTGTTTACGATCTCATTAGGCTGGATGTTTTTTTTTTGTAGCCCCCAAATTTGTTTCCTGTAGGCTTTGCTAAGATAACTTTGTAAAATCCAGTGTCTCCTTTGCAATGAACTTTGGGCGTATTATATTCTGAGATTATATTCTGAGATTATATTCTGTTTTTGTTCACACAACTACATTACACATCAACTAAAGTTGATATACAAAAAACTGTGAAAAAATGTACAAAAACTGTGAAAGAATTGATATTTGGTTACCCTTCATATTTTCTCAAACATCAGACTTACAGGGTTTGGGTGGGATTGACCCCCCTAATTATGGCTTGATCCCCCCTAAAGGATGTCAAAACAAGATGAATGGAGGTCCCTTTGAATCAGAGAATAAGTTCACTCTGATCTGTATTTTAAATAATAATGTTAAAAAAGTTAAAGTAATAGATATCCATTTAAACACCTCTGTAACGGTTCATACTATTGTGAATGCATAATCACACCAATCAGTCTATGAAAAAAAAAATTCATTCAACAGTCTGAAACCGCCAGATTCAGAGTTCACAAGACTGATTTCTCATATAGGCGTTTGTTTCTACAGAAAGCCTAAAAAGTAAAGTCAAAAGTTTGTACAGTTTGACCTAAAGTAAGCCGAAAATAGCTAATCAGGTCAGAATACACTAGCCTATCCTACAAAACACTAAAAACTTTAATAATATAAAATTATTAATAAATGATTTGACATTTGATGCACTGAAGCATGTACTACATTGCATGTAAGCATGTAAACATTAGCATTAACATTACTGAAAAAGATGACCCCCAAGCGTCAATGTATAATTCGCACACTGCTAAAGTCTACATAAATATAAATAAAAATAAAATCTTTAGTTTTATAGCAAAAGAAGGAAAAGTAGATCTTTAAATATGCATTTGTCTTCACAGGTCTGAATGTGGACACTGTACTAGCTGGTGACAGTCTAGAGAACAGGCCGACTGGTCTGGAGAGCCGCAGGCAAACTATAAGCAACACTGACCCCAGGCCAGCAGGAGGCACCATGGAGCGCCGCCATACCATCTGTGGTGTAGACTGGAAACTCTCAACCCGGCATGAACCCAAACAGGGTAGTGTGGGTGGAGGAGCTGGACCTGGGGGTGTCGCTGGTGGTGATGGGGGCAGCCTGGAACGGAAGCGTGTGAGCGGGAGCTGGGAGAGTAGACAGACCCGGAAGCCATGCGGAGGTAGCTGGGAGAAAAGGCCCGTGAGTGGGAGCTGGGACCGGAGGCCTGTAGGGGGCAGCTGGGAGCGACGGGGAGGTGTAGGTGTGGTTGGAGGAAGCTGGGAGAAGAGGCACGGGCCTGGAGGGAAACCTGGAGGAAGCTGGGAACGAAAACACACGCCGGGTGGCAGCTGGGAACGCAGGCAGGCTTGCACAGGGAGTTGGGAAAGGGGGAAGTCCTATGGTAGCTGGGAGAGGAGGAACCATAATCCCCTGGAGCCAATGCCATGCCCTGATGCCTACTGCAACCTCATCATACTGGCCGTAGAGAACAGGGTGAGGACAACGAGCTGTTCAGATGAATGACTGAGCGAATGAATGCGGATGAGGATGGATTAATAAGTGAATGATTGCAGGTGGATGAAAAAGTGAACAGATTAGTAATATGGATGAATGGTGGGCTCTATTAATTAGCAATGCATGTGCATGCATGGAGGGGTTAAAAGGCATAACAAAGATGATGGATGGATGGATGGATGGATGGATGGATGGAAGAATGGGTGGGTGGATGGATGGATGGATGAGTGCAAGGGTGGGTGGGTATATGGATGGATGGCTAGATTGATGGAGTAATAAGTGATGGATGGATGGATGGATGGATGGATGGATGGATGGATGGATGGATGGATGGATGGATGGATGGATGGATGGAAGGATGGATGGATGGAAGGATGGATGGATGGATGCATGGGAGCAAGGGTGGGTGGGTATATGAATGGATGGCTGGATTGATGGAGTAATAAATGATGGATGGATGGATTGATGGATGGATGGATTGATGATGTAATAAGTGATGGATGCGGATGGATGGATGGATGGATAGATGGATGGACTAATAAGTGATGGATGAATGGTTGGTTGGATAGATGGAGTAATAAATGATGGATGATGGATGGAGTGGGTAATAAGTAAAGGAAGGGTGGATGGATGGATGGATGGATGGACGGACGGATGGATGGATGGATGGATGGATGGATGGATGGATGGATGGATGGATGGACAAAAGAGTAATAAAGGATGGATGGATAAATAGATGGATGGTTTCAGGTGTAATAGGTAATGGATAGATGAAAGGATAATAAGGGATGGATGAATGGATGGATGGATGCGGGTGTAATAAGTAATGAATAGATGGATGGATGGATGGAAGGATGGATGGATGGATGGATGGATAGATGGATGGATGGATGGATGGATGGATGGATGGATGGATGGATGATTGGAATAATAAGTGATGGATGAATAGATTAGTGGATGAATAAATGGTTGGTTGGATTGATGGAGTAATAAGTTATGGATGATGGATGGAGTGGGTAATAAGTAAAGGATGGATGGATGGATGGATGTATATATGGTTGGATGGATGGAGTAATAAGTGATGGATGGATGGATGGATGGATGGACAGAGTGTATAATAAGTAAAAGATGGATGTATGGATAGATGGATGCAGGGGTAAACAGTGATTACTGGATAAGCAGATGGATGGATAGATGGATGGATAGGTAGATAAATAGATGGATAGATAGGTGGATGGATGAGTGGATTGATTAATTGATAGGTGGATGGATGAGTGGATTGATTAATTGATAGATGGATGGATGAGTGGATGGATGCGGGTGTAATAAGTAATGAATAGATGGATGGATGGATGTATGGATGGATGGATAGCTGAGTGGATGTATAAATGGATGGAATAATAAGTGATGGATGAAAAGATGAATGGATGGATGAATGGTTGGTTGGTTGTATGGATGGAGTAATGGATGGATGGATGGATGGATGAAAGATTAATAATGGATGGATGGATGGATGAATGGTTATATGGAGTAATAAGTGATGGATGGATGGACAGAGTGTATAATAAGTAAAAGATGGATGGGTGGGTGGATGGATGGATGGATAGATATTAGGATGGATGGATGGATGGATGGATGGATGGATGAATGGATGGATGAATGGATGGATGCAGGGGTAAACAGTGATTAATGTATGGACTAATAAGTGATTTATGTATGGATGAGTGGATGGATAAAAAGATGGAATAATAAGTGATAGATAAATAGATGAGTGGATGGGTGAGTGGTTGGTTGGATGGATGGAGTAATAAGTGATGGATAATAGATTGAGTGAGTAATAAGTAAATGATGGATGGATGGATGGATGGATGGATGGATGGATGGATGGATGGATGGATGGATGGATGGATGGATGGATGAAAGAGTAATAAGGGATGCATGGATGGATGGATGGATGGATGGATGGATGGATGGATGGATGGATGGATGGATGGATGGATGGATGAAATAGTAATAAGGGATGGATGGATGGATGGATGGAGTGGGTAATAAGTGAAGGATGGATAGATGGGATAAATGTACAGTATTACTGTGTATGGATTGCTGGATAGATGGGGCAGATGATAGAGTTCAAAAGCAAAAATGGATGAATGGCTGAACAACACAAGTCCTCCAGCACAGTGTTGGGTGTAACTATTTACAAAGTTACTGTTAAACTAGTTACTGTAATTACATTAAAATACCTTTCCTCTGAAAAAGAAAAATAGGGAATTACTTTTCAAATTAGGTAATTTAATTACAAATACTTATACTACACTTGCCATAAATACTCTTTATTCAACAGGTCTGAGCAAATCTGTATGAATTCAGAGAAACGGATTAAAAAATTCATGCAAATACTGTATATTTGCTGAATAATATTTTTTTCTTTTAACTCAAAAGGCTTCATTTATCAAAGAAACAATTAACAAAATAAAAAAAATTTATGACAATACATGATGTATGAAATAGAGTGCGATTGCTTTGAAACACTTTGTTTAATATATATATATATATATTTGGGGATGCAACAATACAGTTAGCCCATGGTTCATACATTGAACAATGCTTGACATGATTTTTTTTTCTACAGGTAAT